CCGGAAGCCCAGGAACAGAGGCCCGTGGAAGCCAGAAGCCCAGGAACAGAGGCCCGTGGAAGCCGGAAGCCCAGGAACAGAGGCCCGTGGAGGAGTTCAATCCGGACGACATTCAGTGTTGTATAATATGCTTCAGGAGAATTCCTGACGACAATTCAGACAGAGACTTCGATGAATGGGTCAAGTGTTCCACATGTGGTTTATGGGCCCACGAGAGCTGTTCTGGGGAAGGGACGCCTTGCCCCTACGATGAAGGCACATTTAACTACTCCTAGGTGTGGGTCACCATTCAATATATATTCAGGTCATGGTCACTACCCTACAGGCGAACTCTTTGTTTTATTTTTCAAATAGTTTCAATTGTACATAGTAATAACAGGCTAAAGAATTATTAACTATACCTTGATCTCCCATATAACTCTTGATTTTGTTCATTGTAATTAATTGTAACTATAATTGCAATTGAATGTACTTTGTAATCACCATTGTACATAAGTAACACTTCAAAATAATCTTGCTTGTTTCTTTCATTTTCAAACCGCGGCTATATTTATTCTAATGAAGTATTATAATAATTAAAGTATATAACTGTAACTTGAATAATTAACTTGATAACTTGAATGATCAATTAATCCTAGGATTAATAACTACCTTGTGTTTCTTCTAATTGTAACTGTGGTCTGTATAAATATCTTAAAACGCACGCCTATGAAACATTGAAACGCTTAAGTACGGGCACTAACAAATTTGAATCCACTTCCCTGTATTTGTGCACTGCTAGAATCACATTAAAAAACGAAACTAATATCAAACCATTCAAAATCCTTTGAATTATGGCTACAGGATTTATTCACTCAGAGGTCGACAGTTGAGGTGTGTGTCCGCAGCGGCACTCGCACATTAATGTCACGTCTAGGTTACGGTGCTCAAATTGTCGGCGTCGAGGACTTTCGTTCTTGTTCCTATTTCTCGGGTTTTTCGCTAATTTTCATGTTTTTTCTTTACTCAGGTACCATTTACCAGCTCTAGTTTCATTCTAATGGACTTCAGGAAAAGGGCTTTCTGCTCGGGGCCCACTCTGGCAATTTTCGTAATGCAATGTGACAGCGTTGGTGAAGTTTTTATATCGAAATATTTCTGAAACGTATCTCTTTTAACGAGGATAAGTAAGCCTTGGATCCCCTTACTTGTGTTCGTAGTAGGAATTTAGCCGCCATCCCCGTTGATCCCAAAGACGCTCATCATGATCGTTCCAGTCTGACGCATCTAATCAAGTTCTTCATTTGATATACTATTTGTTGTTCCTTAGAAACAGAAGCTCTATTTGTGTAATAGCTCTGCCACCAAGCATTTCAGACAACCTCGTAGTGGTCCCCGAGGGGTCGAGAAAAACGCAAAGGTTGAGCCTTGCGCCGAGTTCCCCTTGCAGGTTCTTTCCATGTCGCCAGTGTCAAAGGCTGTAGGCACTTAAATAGTTTCGAATATGCTCTTCCATTTTCAGTTGAGATTACTAGGCTCCATCAAAGTGTTATGAAACAGTTCCAGTTTTGTAGGTGTAGGGTCATTTATTCGGCTCCACCTCTGCATTAAGTCAACGCTTGTTTCCCTGTTCCCCTGAACTAATCAGCAACAATGGCATAGAGGCAGGGTCAACCGTCCGTTGAACAAAGTCCAACGAGGGGGTGGGGGTCGTATTTGGGGGTGGAAAAGAGGGGGGGGGTCGTATTTCGCGAGGTAGCGTTAATGTTACAGTAAGGGAAGGGATGATTTTTTTATGGAACGGAGAGCGGATTAGGTTGTAGGCTGGGATTTTGGGTTGAGTGTTGAGTGCGAAAACTTTTCCGTTTCACATTCGATATGGATCCCTCCTTTCGGAGCAGGGTCAACCCTGCGTTGCGCAAATTCCAAATTTTTTGCGACCCCCTCCATTTCAAGGGGTGTCAGTGCGACCCCCCCCCCTATTGGACATGTGTGTTTTTTAGTGTTACGGTGTATTTCTGTGTGTATCAACGTCAAAAATGGATCTAATATTCGTGATCAGGACCTCCGATAACCCCAATAGACGAAGTTTCAGCGAAAAAATTTTTGACACCCCCTACTGGGGTTGTAATAATGCAATAGCGCCGGGAACCCTTCCGTACTGCTTTAGAGGCCTTTAGCACGGCCTCTAAAGCAGTACGGAAGGGTTCCCTAACAAAAAGAGAACAGAAACATTCCTTAACAGAAATAAATAAGGCAGGAAACCGAATAGTAAAGTTTGAATGTAGGAATTCGCGCCCTTACCGCGGCGCGAGGTAGCGTGGAGCGCGTTTTCCACTCGCTTGGGACGCGGATTTGAGGCAAAATGAAATATCAAAAGTTTTATTAGAGGAATTGAGAGGATTTTTTGTAAACCTAGGTACCGTTATGTTCCTAGTGGTTTCTAATTTCAGGTATGTGCCAAGATTTCCGTCAACGTCCAACCGTCTTTCTTGTAGAAGCTGGAAAATCTAAATCTCCAATAGTTACGGGCGCCTTCTTTGAAAGCTTATATCTTCGTCCACAGGCGTTTTCATGGAACCGGACACCAAAATTTTAAAAATACAAATAGTTTTCTTTCAAAAAAGCATTTGAAATGTTGCGGATGTTCAATATTTCAAAAAATCGTCCCGTTGTTCCGTTTTTTGTGCACACGCGAGTTTTCGACATTCAAACATTCATAACTTTCTTCATAATCAACTTTTTGCAAATGTCTAAGGCTAATTAGAAACTAGAAGATTAGAGCTTTCGAACAAGCACCTGAAAATTTTCCAGCGATCATTTTTCAAAAAAGTCCCGTTGTTTGGGGTCCGATTTTTGAGAAGGCGCGAGTTTTCGACATTCAAACATTCATAACTTTCTTCATATTCAACTTTTTGCAATGTCTAAGGCTAATTAGAAACTAGAAGATTAGAGCTTTCGAATAAGGGCTGAAACTTTTTTGAAAAATCACTCGTTCAAAAAATAGTCCCGTCGTTCCGTTTTTTTCATAGACTTTTTTTCAAGCCTTTCTTCTGAACCGCGACATTGCAATATTCAAGAACCCATAACTTCCTTCAAACTTCATAAAATGAGAAGCGGTAAAGACCGTTAGAATCTACGCGAAGAGTACTTTATTACAAGCGTTAACTTTTCATGGAATTCTTTCTTCTGCTTCAATTTCCTAAGGGGTCTTTAGAATTCAATTCAGCAAGTTCGCTACACTTTGTTCCGCTTAGATTTGATTTGAAAGCATCAAAATTCTCTTCAGGAAGTTTGTCTGCTTACGGCCGAGAGGCGTTTTTATGGGAAAACGCCTGCTCGGGTATACGCCGTGCACCTGTCTGTGGGCAGAAGTCGCACTCGCATTTGAAAGTCCTCCATTTTCCTGAAGAAGGTGTTAGTATCGTGATTGAGTTGCATTGTACTGTTATATGGTACTCTTGTTTCACTTCCCCATGAACTGCTCTACACTTTGTTCTCCTTGGGATTTCAGGAATGTTCGATCATCGAAGACAGACCATGTTTTTGCACTACGCTGTAACAAAGTTTTTGGCTATTGTAATCTTGATCTATGCTGTCGAGCGAAAGCGCCGTCCGTGTATAAGGATAATAATGGCTGAAGTGAGACTTATAATGCTCTGCATGCTCTAATGCTCCCATGGAGCTCTTGTCTGTGCGACTTTCCGACAGCTGCACGGTGCAGAGCTTTTGGAGAACATTAGGGCGTGAAAGTGCACTGCCGCACACTGCCTTGTCGCCCTCTTGCAGCCCCGTCCCTCTGTATGCGACCCCCCCTTTCGTTCGGCAAAATGCGACCCCCTCGTTGTTCTTTGCGCAACGTAGGGTTGACCCTGTTTCGGAGGGGAAAGTGGGCGGAGTTAGGCTGTGCCGACTGGTTTCAAAGCTCTGCACCATTTCAGAATCAAATACTGTAGAATCGCCCATGATGGCTATGGAAGGCGAGGGTGGTGGAGGAATGGTCGTGAAGGGTTAACCCTGAGGGGGTCGTATCGAGGCCCTCTAGAAGGGGGAGGGGGTCGTAAAATTTTCGAAATTGGTCCAACGTGACGGTTGACCCTGCATTGAGGTATTCTAAGAGTTTGAATTGTAAGTACCTACTCATCACAACTAATTCGTTTGTTTTGAAAAAAAAACCGACAAATTTCTTGAATTTTTATTCAATTGTACGATTTTCGAGATATAAGCATCACAAACACAATTATGTCATATCACTTCGAATAAAATAAAGATATATGTTAATTGCTACGACACGTATAGTTCTTTTGGAGCAAAGTGGAAAGTTTCCAGTTGAGAGAATTCAGCAGAAAGAATGGGTAATGTAATATGATTAGTTCTTCAATGTGGGCGGGACGATGCGGTTAAAAATCGGTTTTCGGTCAGACTGTTCAGTCACTTGGGCCTAACAATAGAGGCCACATAGGAATGTATTCGAAGGAAGTCAGCATCAATGCCACGAGAAGTTTCTCTGGTCTAATTACCGAATTTATTTTTCGTTTCGCTTCGTCTCCTACGAGGAAAGGAGGAATGTATAAATATTTATAGTGAGAACATGCCTCTTTACAATACACCCAATTGTCTCAGCTCTTCGGTTTGTCGATCGAGTATCGCCTGATTAGCAGCAAGTCGTTCCCTGTGTACGGCGTCTAATGCACTGAACCTGAAAGAGGGTATTCACCAGCAGCTTGGCACCCAGGAACTTCTCCAATACATAAACAGGTCATGATAAAATTAGTTTTTGTCCTAAAATACTGAAAAATAAGGTGGTGTAGCGGCATAACACTGCTTACCGCACACGCGATTCGCAGATCAAATCTGGGTCGTGTGTCGTCCAGGTCGACAAAGCCTCTCATACCCTGAGTCGGTTAATTGGTACCAGACTTGTCTGGGAGGATAAAAACACTGACTTGTACATCGGCTGGCCCCGCAAGTCATTGTATAGGCCAAATCGCATTCAATTGCCACTACGATTCTGAATGGAAGTAGAATGCGTGGCGCATCCCAACACGGGAATGATCAACTCCGAATGCTTCATCCTTTATGTTGAGAATGGAATCTGTGTAAACTAGTGCAGTTCCTTTACCAGGAAGTACTGTTGATTGAATTCTTCTTGCTACTTCGCTTGACAAATTCGATCCTTGCTGTTGCAACTTCCGCATCACATGGTTGGTCTTACCATTAGCGGCAATCACGACCTACGCATGGCCTCCTTATCAGAACATGTTCGGTACACGGCACACTCCATAGCACGCTTTTTCCTTTTCAAACGATTTTTAGCGCATTATTTTCTCTCGTATGAGCATCCCCCCAGAGATTGATACACTATGTTTTTCTAGTGTTTTTATATCCTCAAGCCCTAAAGAATTAGGAAGTTCAAAAGAAATTTTTTTCTGATCCATCGATTTTTACTGGCAAAAAAAGAAAAGCACGAAAAACCATTTCGGCTAACACTTTTTACCGCTACTGGACTAGCAATGGTGAGAAAAAGAAAAGATAGTACTAGAAAAGAAGCACAAGCACGAATCTTACTAAACACGTTCTGGTTTCTGTTTTCTTTTCGTTTGTTTATAAACAATGTCACAAAACAATTCAGCCTGTAGGGGAGATTATCAATAACAGTTTACTCGGCTAAAATTTCGGAGTTATCGCCTTAAGCGCATTTTTACCAGCTCACGATGACAGGGTGTGGCAGGTATCACGTTCGACATTTTCAAAGGTCAGTTGAAGGTTTTTGAAGGTTAGGTTAGGCTTCATGGATCTATGATGTTGCCATAGAAGCCAAGCTATTGAGTGATTCCTACAGGTTGTAGTAGTGTTCGGATGGCTAGTTTCTCAAATGCCTTTTCTTCTTGCAGGCTCCGAAAAAGACGTTACGCTGAGACGTCCGCCGAGTAAAAACTCATTTACAACATCGGTTAATTGCTGAATAATTCTGACATCTATACGAAAAGAAATGCTCAGATTCACTGAAAGTCGATCGTGAACTATAAAGCAATCTAGAATTCGTGCCGCATGTGTCGATAAGTAGATGAAATGGGTGCACCCTTAGAGGAAATGCCTTTCCACACGCCACTTTTCTAATCAAAACTTTGACATTCCGTTGGTCAAGATCGGCCACACTGGCAGATTCTGTCGCAAAGGGTATACGCAAGCTTAGTCCCCTTCAGCGATGCGAAGGGTGCCCAAGATTTTCTCATCTTCTCTGGATTGCACAGTTCTAGGTCTATCGATTTATCACGTTTTTCTTCTCACCCGTATCTTATTTTGTGCCTCAATTCAGATACTGTTGGAGGATGCAGTAGATACCCTCCTCGTTCAAAAAGCGAGAAAGTGTCGGGTGCAGACCATACACCACAAGTGACGACGGCCTCCAAGTAAATCTTGGTTCATAGTGATAGCTGATTTTTGGTAAATGATAGTTGTAATTAGTGACAACTGATAGAATACAACTGCAACAGGCTAATCATTTCATTGGCAGAAAACATTTACATTTTGTGAAGGCCGTCGTCACTTGTGGTGTATGGTCTGCACCCGACGCTTTCTCGCTTTTTGGAACGAAAGGTAACTCATAAAAGAAACAAACAATTTGGCCGAGGAACGCGTACAATCGAACATAGGAAAGAATATACCTGAAATCAGTGGGAGGACGAAGCTGTCCTGACGGTGACGGCAAAGGCGAAGGCATCGTTGTGGTGATGTCGTGCTCTGCGGTTGAAGCTCTAGCCGAGTCGACATCGCGGGTCTTTCGAAGCATGTTTCGCTTGTCCGTGTACAGTCGACTCCACACATCCTCGCGACTCTGTAAAAACAATAACTGTTGATAGATCAGCAGACAAGCCATTGGCCTACATATTTGGTCACGTATTCGACTTAAACCTTTATTTAGTTAACTTTTTTCTTCCTATGCAATATTAATGGTAAAAATTAAGAAAAGTGATAATTTCATCAGTGTTATCTAATTACGACTTCTTTTCTTTATGCACTCGTTTTAGCAAGTGGTCAAGTGAAACCTGACTGTAAATTTCAAGCCAAGACTGGAGTTGGTTGCAGTCTGCAGCTAAATGCCAAATCGGAATCACACCTCTTCGTTTTTCCTTATCTTCGTCTGAAATTTAGTGGCTCACCTTTTCCTCGGCACTATGACTACGCTGCGTCACAGATTTTGGCAATGGAGGCAATTTTCTTTCGATGATTGGCGTTTTTATGCTATCCGTTCGTTTCGGTATACGCGACACTCTCGCCTCAACGATCTCCGGAGGACCGGATGAAGTCTCCATCGTTCGTGCAGGAGCCTTAACAGTGAGCGACTTCACTCGAGCGAAGTTAAAATTTGCTCTAAGCGTTCACAGGATTGTGAAATAAATGATCGTCACTTGAAGCAAAGGACGGTAGCGAGAAAGGCCGATGTTTAACCACTCACAATTCTTCCGTTCGACAGATTCCTTTTCACTGGTGGCATCAATTGTGATGGCTTACTGCAATCCTCTCGACTCTTCCTAAGCTGGCAAGCCTTCATCGACGGCGCTGGTGAGGGAGCTTTCGGTGGCGGAGGTCTCAGTTTGGGAGACGGTGACTAGAAAGCAATTTATTTGAATTCAACTTTGGAAAGTACTAGTTTTTTGAAGCAAAATAAACATACCCGTGCTACTGGCGGTTTTACTTTTGGTGGCAGAACTTTGCAATGCTCCACTTTAGGTGACACCGGTACCGTCGACGTTGGTGCCTTCTCTACAGGCAGATCAGTGACCTGTAATTTTTCAAGGAAAATGACATAAACTGACAGCATCCGTCCGCTCGGAAACTCGACGACCACCCTCTTAGATGGGGTCTTTATACGACCCTCCACCCAACCATCAGCCTCAGGGAACTCATTCGATGAAACCTCTCCTCCCCAGCCCGGTCTTTTCATTCAAAAAGGTCGTCAGGCGGGAACAGGGGGAGAGAAGAAAACTACTAGTGTCCTGATATTTTTTACGCGCTTCTTTCTTGAAGACCTCGCCAAAATCGTAGAAAAAAACGTTAAGCACGACCATCTTTCCCGCCACCACGACCGCTTCAACATCTGAAAATATGACAGAAATATGTTTGACCCCTTTCCATACCTCTGACCTCCACCAACCCTAACGACCCCCCTCAAAAACAACTCGAATATGACCCCCTCGTTGAGAAATGCTTAACGCGCGGTTGAATCTGATTGAAGTGTGTCGCGAACCCGCAGCAGAATCTTCGAAATCTTCGGCAGCTGAAGTGAGACAGAAAGAGGAAGATTTGCAATTTTTGCTCTTGATATTGAACAGTGAAATGCTCGAGCGTGAATGGAAATTCGATCAACGCGAAGTTTTCCCTGCTTGAGTATTACGGGAGAAGTGATATGGCCTCATCAAACTCGGACTTCTGTGTGAGATTTATATGGGGAATTCAATTCCCGATTACAGCTTGACAACCCCTCGCCATTTGGAGCACTCTTCATGAAAAGCACTTCTTCCTAACACCCTGTAATTTTGCAATTCTGCATTCGTCTGAATCTGTCGTAAATGCTGGCAAATTTTATGAACGTCGTCTCCATAGTAAGTCAGAGCTGTCCAGATCCCAGCGAGAGGTTGTTCAAGAGCTGTGACGCTGTCACAAAAATGCAAGGGACTTTGTGAAAGCAATGAGCCTGAATCATTATCAGGTTCCAGTACAATGTGCATTGCTTTGGCACTTTCGCAACTATTATCATAACTATAATCTGATTTCCGAGACTACCTCAGGTATTGATTTTCGATGGAAAGGCAGTCTATTGGAAATCAAGTTAGAGGTAGTCAGTTATGCAGGAAAAAATAAAAAAAACAAAAAAAAACAGCCTAGAACCCGAGAAATGAGACGTCCTCTCTGCTTGTTGATATCGGCATTGGTGCGACTGCATCGGTGCTGTCCTCTTCAACGCTAACGCCTATCTCTGCTAAATGGTTAGAAGCTCGGACAGCGAGAGGGGGCGCACCACGTGATTGCGGGAAGCTCATGGTAGATCGCTGGGGCATATCCTTTTATGCGAATGGCGTATCGGTTCGCACCCTTAGAAGATCCACCTGTCTCTCCACTATAGTAAGTTCCCTTTGGACCTATCCCATGCTGCTGTTAAGGTCCGTCACTGGCAATATTCCATGCTGCTGTTAAGGTCCGTCACTACCTTAGAACACAAAAAACAAACACTTAAGGACTTACCACAGTGCATTCAGTGACGGATTCCTGAACAGGAGGAGGTGGTGATGGTGGTGGAGGAGGAGGTTCGACTATTGCTGGCTGGATTCCGTTCCCGCAGCCTTCATTCTCACTCTCCCGATACTCTGACGTGTTGTCCGAAGCGTAGTCGCTGCTCTCCATCTTTGACAAGTCGGTATCTGCTAATGAGAACAAACTTATTGTATTAACATTCTTAGTATGGCGCTGTCCCGAAGCCTCATAAGGATCTAAATGTTAAACAACATTTTGAGGCTCCAAAATTTATTTCAAAAAGCTTAAAACACTTAATTCTCGAAAGCTTTCCAAAAACTTTTGCAATATTTCGGGCTTAGCACCTTCGTCAGGTACGCGTTTGCCTCAATAAGTTCCCAAACATACCCAACGAAAATTCGTTGGGTAAGTTTTTGCGAACCTGAATATGAGATCAGGTAAGATCCAGATGTTCTGAGAAAAAGAGGAGGTGAATCAAATGTAAATAATGACACAGATATTGTGCTCACCTATAGTAGTGCTGTCAGCCACCTCACTGATCACCGCTGATGGGGCGAGCTCAGGAGGGTTTGTTGGTGGAGGGCTTTCTTCAGGCTCTGCCACATGTGGTTTCTCGACTTCCTTTTCGTGAACCTCCGGCTGCTTCACTTCTTTCACCGGCTCCTCTTCCACCTTTGGAACTTCACTGTGAATGGGTTCCGAACGATGGCGGTCGCGTCGCTCTGCAATGTCAGAAAAGAACTAAGATTCGCGAAACAGAGCTCGCTCAAACGGAAACCAGCCATACCCGATTGGATTGAAGTGAATGTGTGTCAAGGTGTTGCTACGGAACAGCGGATGAATCCTTGCACCAGCTGAAAGCAACTTTCCGTTGGACAAGACAATCGAAAGACGCTGTTCACTTTGAAGGCTGAGTTTGCGCCATAATCGCCGTCATCAGCTGATTTCAAGTTTAAAACTAAAGCCAGCAGGATACCTGTGCGTTGATTCCTCCTCACAGGTCTCCTAATCGAGACACCACTCACTTGCTCGAAGCAACCCCAGGCTAAGCCTAGGCACAATCATAGTCTTAAGCGTAAGGCAATGTGTAAGCATAAATCTAAACCCAAGCCTAAACCCGAGCTTATCCTTACATTTCAACGATCGCACAGCTCTGGTGACCTGACCTCAGGTCGAGAACTGAGCAGGGGATTACCGGGAACATCCATCTTCTTGTATAACGGTTTTGTGCAATTCAATATACCGGACTAAGAATAACAACAACAACCAAGGATTACTAATTTATGTCCATAGGTTACCTCTGACTTCCGAGAGTCAAATGCATGTAAATTAAATGCGGGTAAATTGTTCGAATTAAGGGTACGGTATGTGAATTCAACCATTATTAATTTTTTGCCAACATGAGCATGGCAAATAATGTTAACTCAAAATTATCAAAATCATGGAAAAGCTCAAAAGGTGAAAAAAAGCTCAATATTTGGTCATCGTAACGTCACTTGATGAACTTCCTGGCAGCCCTAAGAGCACATTCTTTGAGTAATTTCAATCGAAGACCCTGCCAGTTTCAATGCGAACGAGCGTAAAGCGATCACGACGGCTGGAGAGGTGTGCGGTTTCGATGACGTCACTGATCGTCATTGTGGAAGGGGCGTTGAGGCAGAGTCAACCCTGCGTTGCGCAGTTTTCAACGGCCACGTTGCGCAGTTTCGCCCGATTAGACACGTTCTCTCGCGCGAACATTCACACTCGCATGCTCGAGCCGTCTGTGTCTCCGCCCATACAGCGTGCGTTGAGGATCTCTCAACGTGCCGTTGCGAACTGCGCAACGCAGGGTTGACTCTGGTTGAGTCAGCGGTGTATAACACAACCCCCCTCCCCCAGCTTCTGAAGGGCTCAGTTCAGTAATGAGATTTCATGACGTCATTAAAACCGCATCACGCTCAGCCACTTTGATCACTCTTGATCGCCTCTAAGTTCTTATTTGATTACCATTCATCTGAGACTTTACTGTGAACAGGAAAAGGGACGAGGTGAGATTGATCTTAGATGTGACACCAGCATGCTTTGAGAAATGTTATTAAGGGAATGGATGGTGATGAGATCACTGTTCATTTAGCAACCTTCATACAGAACTGTCTTTGCAGTGCACGGCCTCAGCTTTCCACCATCTGTTGAACTGTTCATGAAAGTCATTTTTTATCACCCACATGTGTCGTCACTATCCATCGGTGGTGGAGTTTCCACTTTTCGTTCGAGCTCAAACTTGACTTTGTACGGCGAAGCGTAGCTCAGCAACGTCAGCGCGTCTTCATACACCATATTATCGAAGTTGATAGTCAATGACTTTATGCGGTCACCTGTAACCATGAATAGAAGTACAATATGAAGTTGAACAGAAGCCGGTGCCCGGTTATTATTTTGAACGCAGTGCTTTGTTGATAGAGGAAGGGCCGGAACTCAAGTAGATGACCATGATATTTTAATGGCTAGCGTAGTGAAAAAGCGACACTACCATCAACCAAGAATACTCACTTCAAAATCAGTCACTGTCCTACAACACCCCTCTGCTTCACTTTGCAGAGTACTAACCAGGAAAAGGCCAACCCGGCCAAATGAAATGAGGTGCACATTTCTGTACGCAGCATGAGACGCTGAACTCAAATCTGCTTTCACTATCTGCTGAACTCTTCTCTGAAAGGAGTTACGGAGGGTTTTTGTTGCCGCCCTTGATTTTCAGTGTTTTACCTGCAATCACATGTTAGCCGCACTATAAAAGTATCGAAAGGAGAACCGAGGCACTGGTGTCGTGAGCCCTCGGTAGCGCAGTTGGTAGCGGTCGTGTTTCTCACGGAGGGGGTCGGGGTTCGGTCCCTTACGGGGTTTGTTGTTTTGCTTTTTTTCCAACATGGCTGAAAAGCCTTTTTGAATCTGTTATTTTACCAATGGTCGCCCGACGCTACATCTACGAAGAGTTTGCAAGCTGACCCTCTTAAACTTAAGCACTACTTGTCTGTGAAAGCCTATGGTGCCCGTAGTGCAGGTGCTATGCTTTTCCGTGGCAAGTAGGTATGATATTCGTATTCAGGGGATCAAACTACCCCTTACAGCGAGTTTTTCGCCAAATCTGAGGCGACGAACTAATTGAGAAAAAGCGGGGCAGTGATGGGATTACCACTCCTCAAACTCCACTTTTTTGGGTTGACCAATCATGGACGACGGGGGAAAGGGGAGAGAAGGTGTTGTATTAGGAAATAATGGTTTGTAGATCTTTGGATGATGCAGACGGGCAAGCCAGACACAATTTTCGTCTATTATGAAAAGTTTTTAAAAAATTTATTCTACCCAAGTGCCAGCCTTTTGTAATGGATTGGTGGATCGGTGAGTAAGTGACTGCCCAAATTTTCGAGGTTAGGTCAAAATTTCAGAATTCGCTAGAAGTTCGCTCAAAGGGAGAGTCTGACTCCCTGATTACGAATATCATACTTGTTCGAAGCAAAAATGCCTGGCGCCTGCGCTACAAGCGCCCAAAGTGGTGAGGAGCGGTGCCGCCCAAGTTCATTATTAATTGCCCTCAAATTCTTTTTACTGTTAACTATACGCAAGCATGTCGGACTAGCAATGTTAGGAGTCTTCCTAGCTATCTTACTGCAAACGGCAAAAGAACAAACTCGCCAGGGAGTTGATCCCCTGACCTCTTTTTCGTGAGCCTCGACCACAGCCCCTGCGCTTTTCTGCTTTCATAATTCCTTTCAGAGAAGAGTTCAGCAGATAAGGAACACATATTTGAGCTCAGCGTCCCAAGGCGCGTATACACATATACATCTCATTTCAAATGGCCGGGTTGACCAAATGACCTTTCCTGGTAAGAGCTGATTTCAATTTTAGTAATCCTACTTTTATAGAGCGTTTCGTGCGTCGTCTGTCTGTCTGTCTGTGTGTCTGTCACGAAATTCCCTAGCTCCTCGGGATCCACCTGGAGGGACCGGATCAAGTGTGGAATGGGTGGGCAAGGTCTCGCGAATTACAAAACATACATCAGCTAAGCGGAGGTCCGCCCGCTGTGGCGTGGCGTATATCGAAGTGAGTGCTACTGACGACCACGATTTTAGTTACTATTCCAAAAAACAGCCTCGAAACTGGGAGAAAACCGGGTAAATTTGTGCATTGGCGAATCAGATCGAACTAGGGAGACCCATCCCCAGTGGGTGGGGCGTTCTCCAAAAAAAAAAAACAGTGCTCTATGAAAAAGTTCATAACTCGGTTTGGAGAAAGCCTATAGAGCAGAAAAAAGTCAGTGTAGGGGAGCGATGTCCAAGGTGTTCACAGCACACATGACGTGGGCGGGGGCCCGCCCACAATCAACATTTTCTAGAGTCCTTATGAATTTAGGACCGGAGAAGTCTTAGCGAACCGGAGAAAAGTGGATAGAGTGTATGGTCAACTGCCATCGGTGAGCGAAAGCTTGCTCGCGAGCCTAAAAATCGGTCCAGAGACAGTTCGGAGACCGAAAAAGGTGAATAAAGGCCTGCCAGGGGAAGGGATTCATTTTTTATTGGTGGGCGGGGCATGACCAAAGTAGTAGCAGTTTGTTGCCGGATCTATAAAGCGCTTCCACGAAGCCTTAGAAACTGGGAAAAAGGTGGATAGAAGTAGGCGAAGTTGAAGAGTTCAATTTTTATTGGTGGGCCGGGCATGCAACAAAGTGGGCGCGGTTTGCGCCAAGCATATAAATCGCTCAGGGACAGTTCAGAGACCGGGAAAACGGAAGCTATTAGCAAGGAAGAAAAAGGTGGGTGAGACATGCACCGAAATAGGAAGAGTTCACGACGAGATTTATAAATCGGTCTAGAGGTAGTCCGGAGACCGGAGAAAAGGCGGATAATGCTTGCAAAAAGGGGAGGTCAAAAGCTGTTAGTTAAGGAGTGGATAAAACCTAGCTCAGAAGTCAAATATTCGTAGTGAATCTAGCCAAACTGAGTATTTGCACTGCACCATCCCATATCGCCGCAGAACTGTGTTGCGCACGTAACACGTGCTGCACCAACTGGTTATAAAAATAATGCAATTAGTTCTATAACGTCGGGGTGGACGCCACAAATGGGTCAAGTGGATGCCATTGGGTACCAAATAATACTTACGATTAGTGTTTT